GTCATTTAACTAGAACTTTGTAGTATAGGTGCTTCATAATATGCTAGTTAGGATGAAACCTTGGAATATTTAAGATTTGCGTGTATAATAGAGAAAACATAGATCCAAGGTTTATAGGGTTGCATGTACACCATAGGAGTGTTAGAATGCTCAAAACCCAACAGTAGAACGTTTGGGTTGTCCTTTGAGATGTATTTCCATGTCTAGAGTCATAAAAATATGATCTTGTCCCCTGAGATTCTTTCATGCAAGCCATATAGAGCTTTAGTGGTTAAGATAAGTTAGGGTTTTGTTGTTGGGCTTGATTTAGATATGTAGAACCATAAAGTTGGAAACTTTATGGTTTGGGATGCCATTTGGGACTAAGACTGAGATTTAGATGTAGTAGCTTAAGGAAATAAGTCCTCAAAACGAAGTTGTTAAGACATCGTGTTGGGCGTAGCTTGTCGAACGTCGGGCGTACGCCTAAGGGAGCCCCGATCTAGATCGCGTGTACGCGGGGCGTACGAGCCGAGTATGCTGGGCGTACTCGGTCTGGGTTGACTTTTCTTGACCCGTTAACTTTGACTTTGAATTTGACCAAGTTTGACTTAAGGGTATTTTAAGCAAAAGTTGAGTCTTGGTCTCTATCTGTTGGATAGGTGACTTGTAGAGCTGGTAGTTGGAGTAGTTTATCGTTCAGCTTTTCGTCAGACTGTAAGGTGAGTTTTCCTCACTGTACTTGCGGGTTGAAGGCACCAAGGCTGGCCCATTGGATTGATATCCTGTTATACATTGATTTATGATATGTTGAGTATAGGATAGATCTGTATGATTATATGATAGTTGCTTATATGTGTAGACCGGTAGATCTGTAGGACTACCTGTGATTTATGGCTGCATGATTATCTGTCTGTTGATTATGTTTGTTATATGTTATATGTCGACATATTGTGTTGGGTTGAGACTTTACTGCTATGTGCGTGAGTCAACAGACCGGGGATATTCCAGTCCGATGACTGAGTGGACCCGAGGGTATTCTAGTCCGATGACTGAGTAGGCCCGTTGTATATTGGTATTCCAGTCTGATGACTGAGTAGACCTGTTGTATATTGGCATTCCATTCCGATGACTAATTGGGCTAGGGGTAATCCAGCCCAATGGTTGTGGACCCGTGGGTATTCCAGTCTGATGACTAATCGGACCAAGCATGTTTGTCTATATATGATATGTGTATTGTGTGGTGGTACTTTGGGGGAACTCACTAAGCTTTGGCTTACAGTTTTTGGTTATGGTTTCAGGTACTTCCGAGGATCGTGGAAAGGCGAAAGTGTGACCATGCACATCCTAATTTTTATGTTGTTGATCTTGGGAGACTTTGGAATTAAATAATATTTGGGAAACAATGGTTTTGTAAACATTTTTATTAGTAAATGGATTGTTTTGAAAAGTTTAAATTGGTTGTGATTTTTGAGATGTTACATTGTTATACTCCCCCAAATGGAGAATGTTTTTGGATCCACCATTAGGTATCATCTTGAGTTATACGAGAGTGTTGTGATGTACCTCTCATATATCGAATGTGGAACTACCTCTTATATATGGGACTACAAGAACATCCATAGATAAAAATTAGCCATTACCACACTATTTCCTTTTTCCCAAATGTTTAATTTTTCCTACATCCATCCGTTCACATATTCGCTTTTAATTATTTTATTCAAATGTCACTCATATTAAGAACATCTAATATTTCCATTATTATATTTAACTAGAAATTGCTTCATCCCTGCTTCGCGGGGAGGTGCCAATAAATTGCAAGTGTCTCTGCTGATAAGTGTCAATGTCTATTATGCGGGATGAGTAATCTACAAATTTTCTATCAGACAGGGATTGTTTTTCTAATTTTTTTAAACATGCGGGCCATTTGGTGTAAAATTTTTGCACATTGACCTTTTTTTTTGTAAATTACAGGGTTAATTTTACAATTTGTTTTCTAAAAGTGACCAAACCAACCAATATATGAAAGTCTTGTGGCCAAACGCTAAAACCCAAAGAATATACTATTGAAACACATTGACCATTTCTGTAAAACACACACACACACAAACACCTTTTCCATATAATACATGTACACATTTTTTTTTATATTTTTTACAAAAGGACCAAACATACCAACATATAAGATTATTATGATAAAAGTCTAAAACCTAAAACTATATGTTTTTATTATATATAATGATACGTTTATTACTATAAAAAAGTAACAAAAACTTAGATTTCGAGTAATTTCTTTACTACGTAGGGTAAATTGTAAATTGCTATGTTTAAAAAAAACCCAATTTTATATTATGTTATTTTTTTTGTTAAAATTTGTTCTCTAAGTTTTTTCATTTTTTGCAATGTGAACCATTTGACCGATCAACCCCACTCTCTGACATTGCATGCTAACGTATAGTCTTTGGTTACATGACATGTTAATATAACATTATTTGGTTATGTGACACTGACATGACATGATGATACGTTAATATTGAAAAAAATGGCACAATAGGGCACTAAGTTTTCAATTTTCTTTTAGTTCTGACATTTTATTTTTCTCAACATTATTTTTTTCCAACTATTGTCAATATTGTATAAATAAAAACATTTACATTTAAAAACCATTTTTTCTTGTACAAATATATATATATATATATATATATATATATATATATATATATATATATATATATATATATA